GGGCTGGTACATCAGGTCAGATGCGCCAGGTATACAGGTGTGGGCTGGTACATCAGGTCAGATGCGCCAGGTATACAGGTGTGGGCTGGTACATCTGGTCAGGTGCGCCAGGTATACAGGTGTGGGCTGGTACGTTGGGTCAGATGTGCAAGGAGACTCAGGCATTCCAGTGCCTTTTTTAATTTGTATCTTAATAATGTTTCCATTTTGTGATGTATTCTGATAGAATTAAAATCACACATTGCCAAGGACATAAATCATTATACTTGTCACCAATTAAAATCATCACCTGACCCAAGTATTGGGTCTATAAGCCTCAGTCTCACCTCTTACGGCACATAACTGGGCCATTACTGCTCACCTGTGAGCTCTCACACTCCGCAAGGGAGTCATCGTGACATTCACAGGTGTGCGTGTGAGTGCGCACAGGTGAGCAGCCTTACTAAAACAGCACAGGTGGTGAGACTGTGCCCCTCAATTCATGTGTTTATCTGTAAATAGAGTAAGAGAATCTGAAATCCTGTTAGGGGAAGAAAAAAATGAAACACCAAGAAACAAACTAAAAACATGGATGAAAACTCACATTTTAGAAACTAAGATATATGTTAAAAATTATTTCCATTTAGAAAATTCACATCTCGAAGAAAAGTATCTAAAGAGCCACAAAGAGTGCCGTGGTACGTTCCTTATGGTTCAGTGGCAAAGACTCCTGCTACAGATACCTCGGTAATAAGCGCCTATTCATTAGTACTGCAGGGCTTTACACATTATTAAACATGGCTAATTCGTAAATGCCCTGACAGCAGTCCAATGCTGCCTTGAGTGTGGACCAACTTAGTTGCCATTTTGAATAAACAAGAATTCAGCACGGAATACACATCAGATAATTCAGGATGGAATCACTTGCCGCCCTTAGAATGAATCTGAAACACTAAAGACAAACTAATTCATTTGGGAAATAAAAATGTAATCACCGTCTCTTGCACCTGTTGGAATAATTCTGTCTGCAGAAAAACTTACACTTGTATCAAGTTTGTGGAGGAGTATTGCTGTCATTACTTTTATAATTATCTATTCAAAATTTCTTAGCCATAAAATAATCTTTTATTTTGAAATATTTTCTTTCTTGTACCGTGGAAACTAATTTTAGTAGAATTTGTTGCAAAGGACACAATTATTCAAAAAAATATTATGCCAAGAGTAGAAATGAAGAAATAGCTGAAAGGTGAACTGTGATCGCCTGTGAAGCTGTTGTCTTTTATTTATGTGTTACTGTATTTTCCATATTTTCTAAAATGTAGATGCCTAAATTTCATCATTGAAAACACAAATATATTAATTTTTTAAAAGATGTGGTTAAAACAAGATATGAATGCCGATGCATTTAAAATAACATAAAAGACAGTGTGCATCTTGGAAATGGTAAATGTACAGATCCTTCCAGAAATTGCATGAATTCAGATCCAACCACATTCCAGGGCTCTCTAACCACAAACTGCCTAAAGATGGGTTATCCTTCTTTAGCACAATGAGTTTCCTTTATCAAAGAGCACAAAGCATCTTTAACTGAATCCAATTTCAGGAACATAAAGTACCACTGATATAAAATGAAACCATCCAACAATGGTTTCACAACATCCGCTGCTAACTACGAACAAAGAAATGGCCTCGCTCTATTTTTCCACAGCTCATATTTTTAAAGCATCACTGTTTTCTGAAATACACACCTGTTATCTAAACTTCTCCTAGAGGTCAAACTTTGCCAAACAGGAAGCCGAGGGCTGGGTTATTTTTAAAGTTTTATATCAGGCTCACATTCCCTCTCAAACTTTCTGAACCTAATCTGCTGAAATTGCCCAGGTGGAATTTCTCCTGTCCTCCTTCAGTGGTATCTGCCTGACACACACATGCACACATAGCTCCCCTGAGGCTGCAGGCTGACCAGGTGACTTGCTCATGTGATAGTTGCTTGTCTTGGATTATTTCATTTAATCCTCACAGCAGCTTAAGGGGGTGGAAATTATTCTGTCAACTTTAAAGATGAGAAAATTAGGTTCTGAAACCACCCTGGCTTGGGGTTGCTCAACGAAGCAAGGCCAATCCACCCTTTTTTTCCTGCCATTTATTATCAAGTATCTACAATGTTATGATATACTGTGCCCTAGAATAGAAAAATACTGCCCAATGCTCGTAGGATTGCCAGATATTTGGAACTTACTTATAATAAAAAATTACACATTGCTTAGCTGGAATTCAAATTTAATGGGGTATCCTGGTAGTCCTACATGTCCCTGGCCACCACGCCATATGGCAAGCTAGTATGTCTCAGTGAACTGCATAGTTCAATCGCTGTCAGTAGGGCTGAGCTGGGACCTTGATGACATGAGATAGACGGAGACCTCCAGGGTCTCTTGACTAGAGGAACACTGGGATTGGGGCTCCAGGGACGCTGGGGTAGAGACCCCTTCCCCTGCGGGACATGAAGATGAAGAGATCTAGGTACCTTGGAATCAAGACCTATAAGGACTCTGGGATGGCGACCTCCAGGAACAGGGGCCTCTTGGAACAATTTCCAGCTGCCGCCTCCAGCCAGGACAGGAGCACAAAGCATCTCTCACAATCCCCAGTTTGCACTGTGGCTTCTCACATCCCTTAGGAGAATCTGAAGTCACTGACCAACAGCCAACCACGTGCAGAGAATGAGGCAATACAGAAAGACACTCTACCTTAAGAGATAGGAACGGAAATGACAATGTCCTTAAATTTTCAATTTACTGGCAAAAGACCTGATCAAGGTCACAAAGAACAGTGATCATGGGTCTCTTGATCTCCAGAAATCTACTGAAGAGGATAGTGAGATGCTGAGAATATGGTTTCTGGAATCAAACTTCCTATCCAGGAACCTGGGTCCATCTTTTTAGGCATATATACCTGGGAAATTTATTGATCTGCTTTCTTCCTCGGGTTCCTCACCTCTACAATTAGGATACTGACAGTACCTACCTCTGGGATCTGAATGGAGACAGTACCTACCTCTGGGGTCTGAATGGAGAAACAATGAGCTGACTCAAGTTAGAACAGTCCCTGCCCTACAGAGCAGCAGTCATCCCATTGGGAGCACATGTGCCACACTCACACTGCGTGCCATTCTTACAAAAATAATAGTGTTCAGCCCTCTGCAACTTTGGCAGAGAAGCTTACATGTCACTGCGTAGATATGAAATGAAATCCGAAAATATCTTCTGCAGCAGAACATAGCATCTCTCACCTTGCTCCTACAACAAGTTCTTTCTGTCCTGGGTCAAATGTTAACTGCGAGAAGTCCACAGCGTCCTCCGCTCGGAACTCCCGTAACCAGGGGCCGATTTCTAAATAGAAAAACATAAATAAAAAGATAAAGATGAATGATCTTTTTTTTCCTCTGGAGACCACAGTGAGTGCACATCAGGTAGCAGCCAATACATTTCAGAGAGGATTTGGAGACCCCCTGGCTGGACTGTTTAGGGGCCCCTCCATGGAGGTTTTCCTTGTGATGTTACAACTCCACATCGAGAAGCTGTAAAAAGCCACCCAGTGAAGAGCCAGCTGGGCATGGACGCTTGTTGCAATTTATGAGGCACAAGTGCATTTGCCTCTTGGCTCTGGGCTGGGTGGAAAATAGAGCAACGTTCACATGGTTTATCAGAGAAGCGCTCAATAGCAGCAAGACGGTTTCCTGTGCAGCTTCACTGCAGAGAGCCAAAGACTTTGAAAAATGACCAGAGCCTCCTTGGGAGCAGGGACCATGCACACGAGCACCATTTGCCTTCTTTCAAATTAGACAGCCCATCTCCCTGTCCTCCGGTTCCCATTTGGCCCCACAATTAGACTTGTTAAACACATTCAGTCCTTTCTAGATCAGAAACCCACAGTTACTTCAGCCCTCATTTGCATTTTTTCTAAGGGAAATCAGGAAATAGCCACTCTATAGAGACAGGCTTTTACAAGCACTGTTAACTCCTATTAGACAGACTCCAGCCCACAGTCCAATTATTATAAATGACAGGATTTGCAGAAAGATAGAATGCTACTTCACGAGGCATTTCTGCAACTCTCGTTAGCTTATTTCTGACACCAGAAAAAGTATTCAGTGAGTTGCCTGCTGGTTGTGGGATAGCTTACTGTTATCCTTGACAATTAATCATGTTATCTGACTGTATATATTTCTTGGATTTAGTATTCTGAATAATATCCTACTGCTTAAGCAGGCAGGTGACAATATCAAATCAATAAAGTTATTGGTTTGAGAGAAAAGTGTGCAGCATGGGGCATAATCTCTTTCAACAGCACTGATGCTAGAAACAGATCTAGTGTGGAAACATACTCCTGTCCCGGACCACGTCCCACAGAAACAGCCTTCTTGGTGTGAACAAGACGGATTCCTTTTAAGGAAGAGATCTGGATAATAACTGCATTTCTCAACTATCAGTTATTGGGGTGAAATGGTATTATTCTGTTTAAAGGAAACCAGGGCTGAGCTACACAGAGACCTGAAATTTATATGTGAATGGTATCTTCATACTTTTTTAGTATTCCATATAAATTTATTCATTTTTATAGCCAAGTCAATTAAAACAACATTTAGCAAAGTATATACAAGGCATTGGAGCTATAAAAAGTAATTAATAAATGGCCCTTCTAGGGGTTTATAACTCAGTCAGGGAAACAGCACTAATATCTTCCTTAAACATAGTATCTATAAATACAAGGGGTTTATGGGTGCTATAGGATGATAGGAATCAGTCATACATGGAAAGGAGAGATGATTGTGAGTTTAGGTAAAAGGAAAGGAAAGATTTGACCAGACTGACAGGACATATGTCCAAGGGAAGGGGGACAAAGCAAGAGTGACCTGGGGGACCATAGCGCCCCCTGTGGCCTAAACTGGTATAACGCATCTTCATGGAGTCTCCATGGGGGGCGGGGCGGGGGTAGGGTGGGGGGTGGGGATGGGAACAGGACCACCTGACCCCGGTCACTCCCTGCATCGCTGCAGAGCAGAACATGACACCCTGAACGAATGCGACAGGCGATGACAACTGAGTGAAATGAAACAGTAACAGTGAGTACGTGAATTCAACGGAGGACAAACTAAAAACGAAAAGAAACAGGAAAGAAAAGGAAAGGAGAAAAGAAAATAAATAACAGCAGTTTAAACAACTAGGAGAGGAAACTGAAAGGTGTATTAAAATATAAACTGCAGAAAAATTCACTTATAGGTTAAAGAGTTTGGACTTGATCTCATCTGTGATGGCCAAGCTTTGACAAGCTTTCGGGCAAGCATTTGAGCCACTAATAAGCAAGATGGTTTAGTAGGGGCAGAGAATAAAGGTAAAAAATGCTAAATTAAACAAAATCCTAAAAACCATAGCATTAGGTGCTGGCTATGAAAATGGAAAAGGAAGACGTATGGGGAGCATCTGATTGGCCAGAGCGCTGATGGGAGTTGAAGTCAGGGGTAACAAGTTAAAGAGAATGAAACCGTTTCTATCTAGATGAAATGAAGAGAAGAGTGATGACTAAGATGCAAGTGTCAGGAGATTGGGGAGGATTTAAGAAAGATAATAGTTCAAGTGCAACCATCAGAGAGTTACTGTAAACAATTCCCAATGGCAGGTTAGCCCCAGAGCCATTGTTAAGCATCACTAAGACCTAGAATGTCCCATAAGGAAATTCCAGCTCAAAAGCTTCATCATTCAGATGAGAAATGCACAACCAGGGAGCCCTGCTGGGACCAGAGTCCAGGGTTCCTGAGCACATGCTGAGTCCTTTGCTCTGTATAACTCACAGCCCCGGGCGGGCACACACCATCTTTAGAATGTGAGAGGGAAGGACAGAGGGCTGAGGGCTGACCTTTACTGTTAGGGGAGGTAAAGATGAGCCACATACAGGAAGAGAAGACTAGAAAAGACATCCTGGGAAAATCAAGCCAGTCATTTGCCATGCACTAGTCTTCCTTTAGACAGTGTCCAGCAGGAACCAGGACGGAGAGACACACTTCAGGGTAGGTTCCTATACTGAGCAGCAGGAGGGAGCTTACTCCTCCTCCTGAAGTGCCCTAGAGGAGCAAAAGGGGCATGTGCAGAGGAAAACAGGAGTTAACAGCACATACTCCTGTCGATACTGCTTGTTGTTCCTTATTTAAAAAATCTAATGAACTTCCTCCAATAGAACTGTATGTATACTTTTATTGCTAACAGTAGATCAAAATTGGGCAATCTGCATATTCTCTTTCTTTTGATTTTCCTGCAGAAGATATGCCTATCTGTACTCTGCATATTACATGGACTTCCATAAAAAGTACTGACACCATGAGGGCCTTAGGCAAAGGTCTCATCTTCTAACTAAAAACATGGCTGCATTACTACCCAGTAGATTGCAGTGACAGTGCTCTGCCCTCTCTTCCAGGACAAGTCCCTCAACATGGCTTTGACCCCATCTCTTCTCTCTTCTTTAACCCCTTCCTTAAAGTGCCCATTTTTTCCTGTAAAATCTCAAATGTTACCAATCCCTTTCCCCTTGTCTACAAGAATATGCATGTCCCCATTTTTTAAATCCTTTTAAAATATATTTTTTGTCACGTACATTGTTATTACAGTTTCAAACATTCAGACAAAAAGCATAATAAACTCCTAAATACAAAATAACAACAAAAAAAATGAGATCACTTTAACATGTAAGTTTTACCAAATCCATACAGAATACATAATCTCAACTTTACACAAGTTATTTCAGACAGAGGTAAAACTTCTAATTCAGTTTGAAGTAGTTATAATCTTGCCAATCTTGATACTAAGGCAAGACACGGGAACATTGAGAAAGGAACTTATAGATCTATTTCACTTAAAATTATAGCTAAGACACTCCCAAAGAGACACACGTCTTAGCCAGTGACACATATCGGTCACTTACAAACACACACACACACATAAACACACTATATTTCAAACGGGATAGGGCTTATTCTAGAAACACAAGCTTAACATCAGAAAATGTATCAATACTATTGACCACCAACACAACAGACTTCCATAGTAACAAGAAGATATTATTGATACTGCTTTCTGAGGAACCAAAACATGAACTGTTGTGGAAATAGATGAGCTAGCAGAGTTCAGGGCCAAGTTAGACAGGAGAGGAAGGAGTCTAAACACAGGCAATTAGCGGCAAACCAGGTGTCAGAGAGAGGCTGGGGAAGCGGGTAGGCAAGAGAGGCCCACAGCACGTGAGGAGCGGGGACAACCAATTTCCTGTTCGTGTCCCCCACATAGCAGGTTTACCTCTTTCCTTCTGTCCCTTTCCTAGTATTGCTGAAGTAACCATCTGATGAACTGGCATTTAAATATGGCAGCCAGGATAACTATCACTGGAAAGTTAGGTAATAACATAAAACCTGTAATTCCAATTGGTAATTGGTAATATTTGATATTAATCATCCTAGATAATCCAATCTTTGCACGAACGTGATTGTTGAACTATAGTTTCCAGCAATGATTTTTTGCACAAAATTAAGTTTATTGATTCCTATTCATCTTCTCTTACAGCTACATTTGCTCCCACGAGATTGTTTTAGCGCAAGTGCAATGATTCCGGTTTGAAAAGAACACAATCATACAGCTTCAAGAAATAATTACTTTTATGAACCTGAGTCAGTATTAATGAATTTAGTCCAAAGTAATTGGCAAATATAAACTAGAGAGTAGCTGAAGGGATTCAAGTTAGAGCTCCCTCCCTCTTCTGTCTCTCTCAAAGAGAAACGAAAAGAAAAAAGAAAAAGGGGAAACAGTATTTTTATAAAAAGCAAATACTCTAATGATAGCTAAGATAATGACGTTTGCAAGTCAGGAACATCTTTCAAAACCTGATAAATAAGAATCACAGAGAATCTACTGCTGGAGAACAGCATTTGCCCACAACATGACAGTCATTCCAAACACTGGAGTGACGTCGCTTCCACATGCTGAAGCCTGCAGCGCTGACAGTCCAGATACCGACTGTCGGCAAACAGAGAGCAGAGAAGCCACCCGTGCAGAACAAGGGGGCTCCAGGCAGCCCAGTTGCATTCCTTCTGCCACCAACTTTAGTCAGTTAAGGAGCTCAGAAAGCAGGATGTCAACACTTCCATTGGGACTTGAAACTCGCATTAGAAACTGAGTCACACACTACCCTAGGCTGAGGGTAAAGATGGCTGAGAAGTGCAGACAGCAACAGACATAACACACCTAGTCCAGCGTTCAGAATCAAAGAGCAAATCGCAGCCCACACCTTCTGCTTCTCATGAAGTTCCATATTAGCTCATTCTGCACCTAATACTGCACACGGAATCAAC